ACCGTTTACAAGCAGGAAGAATTAATTTAACACAAATTTAAAACGCAATGGAGAATTTGCAAGTGTCTGAAATTTGATTAATTCCGTGTTTGAATGGACGCTACCAAGTGAGCTGAACACGAGGATACCCTTGGTTCATAAATTGAACAATTATTGGAGGAGATATTGCAAACTGATCTAATCTGTTAAAATACACGCGTTTACATGGGAAATTCCTCCAGACGACGTTACTAGGCAGCGCATTTTCTCACTCTTAAATCTATTTTTACAATATTTCCTGCGGCCGAAAAAAATTACAAAAGAACTGCAAAATCAGTTATTTATGCACTTTCAGTTTTTTTTTAAGAGTTTTATTTATTGTAACTTCCAATTAGAGGAAACATATACAGTTATCATAAGTTAGAAATAATGTATGGTAAAGCAACGACTGGTTAATCGCTTATTATCATAAAATTAAAGAAACTAAACCTAAGACTTAATTACTTTCAGATGAGGCAATAAAAAATTTGCGTGCAAATTCTCCATTAGTGGTACCGGAGTGTAATCACTATTATTTTTTTTTTTCATTAAAGAAGAGTAATAATGCATGCATTTTTCAAACGCCCAATATACAGCGCAATATTATGTTGCTATAGTGAAATTGTAGTAATTTTTCTTTCATAGTAAATTAATCGCGTTTACATTTCACNGGGGGGGGGGGGGGGGTTGGCGAGTATTCAGACGGATTTACAATACGGCCAAGAAAAGGTGTGCAATCTATCCTTGGAGTGTTTTAAAGGTTGTTTAGCAAACTTACAGCCTACAAAATTTGCATTTCGTTCAGCGTAATCTTTCATGAAGATCGACGCCTTGCAAATAACTAAGCTTGAGTATTCGTGAAGTTTTCTGGTCAAAAATTAAAAGAGTTAGAATTGACACGAAGAGGGCTTGAGAGTCATGCGCTTAGCTATTTCGCCTTCAATTTTTGAGGCAGGCTTGAAAGCATCCTCCGTGTACCATTAGTTATCTTCCCAAAGTTTTGATTCATTTGTTCTGTAACCTAATAGTTCTGATGTTTCATCTGTTTCTCTATTAAACATGATAATGAATGAAGGAATGAATAAAAATGATAAACTCAGAGGGGGCACCCAATCCGAAACTCGTTTGGGCAACCCCTCCCCTGATCTTTTTCGCATGCCCATAACTCCCATTGCCACTACCACTGGCCACTAAGTGCCCGGGCTCAACGTCGTGCGTGGTGCCACTACTCAACCACTTTTCAATGCTTCCGGAATTGAGTATATCTATCAACACATCAAGTTTTTTTTCTGTAAAATTATTATTAAAAAAAAAGAAATAAAAAATAATACAAGCTTTCTTCAAGCTCTTTTAAAAAGCCTTCTAGTTCTGTTTTTTTTACGATTGGTGGTGACTTCCGTTGAAATCCGGTTCGATCGGATCGGGGACTGCTGTCGCTGGTGGAAGGTTCACCGATTCCGTTCACCGTTCATCGTTCACCGTTCACCGTTCACCGTTCACCGAGACCGTGGCCGGGGTTCGTTTGATTTCACTGCACGATCCGCAATCCGGCGCACAACGGAATGAGCCGACAAGAAAGGTCGGACATGAAATTTTTAGCTAAAATATTAAAATCTACTGTTCATTTGATCACAAATTCAATTTCAAGAGGTTTTTCTGAGAGGAAATTTTACGAAAAAACCAATGAAGCCACTTTTAAATGTTTTTTGCTTCATATTTTCGAAAATATAAGCTTTTAAAGTTTCTAAATTTTGTTCGACTTTTCCTACTGTCCGGGTCTCGTGTGCGGCGATCCGTGATCCATCGCGGCTCGCACGCAGTCGCACGCGCGCACGATTTCGGAGGCGTGAAAGTGACCACTCGCATAATTCACCCGCTCGGTAAATATACCCGTCGAATTTCTTCAACCGTTCTATCACCCGTGCTCCTGTGTGGCCAAAGACAATATACAGGGTGTCCGAAAGTTAACGCATACTTAACTTTAAGGATCGATTTTTCGGATCAAAATATGATTTTTCCCCCTATATGCCCAGAAACGCTTCATGAGTAAGCTATGCGCTTTCAAAGTTGCCATTTCTTTTTCTTTCAAACTGATGTAACTGCTCGTTATTTTGTCGTTAGTGGCCGATACTTTGTGAAGTGGGATATTTTTTAGCGTACTATTCATTTACAAGAACGCACGTCTTCGGAAAATTACGTTACGAGCGTTCCCGAATTTTAGAATCCCGATAACTTCTCTGGTAGCTGATATTTGGAAAAACGGATTACGGCACGCGAAAAAGCGCGAGAAATCAAGCAGAGCAGGTGCTGTACAAAATGTTCCAGAAACGTGCCATTTGGACGCAACAGAGCTTTGAAAGAGTTTCAGATTTTCGAAGCTCCTTGCTGGGTAGGCAATTTTTACTGCAAGGACTGTAAAAAAGATTAGCGCATAGCAAAGGAAGCGCATAGCTCACTTATGAAGCGTTTTCAGGCATACGTGTTTAGGAAAAAAAAAAGTCGTGATATGAGCCGAAAAATCGATTCTCAAAGTTAAGTACGTTACCTCCCGGATACCCTGTATTTTAGAGACCGCACACTGCTATCTGTCCTTAATAGTAAAAGATACTTTCGGGAGTCAACGCTCAGATTTCCTGAGTATGACTCATAACCATGGTGTCGAGCAATCAGTACAGCAATCCTAACGTACTCGTAATTTGCAAAATCCTTTGTAGCAAGAAGCTCACCACATTTGACAGTCATCATTTGGCGAATTTTAGATGATTTTTTGCTCGAAAAGTTGTTCATAAAGCATCATTTGGGGAAAAATATAGCTGACTATTTTGGTAGCTTGCGGATTATCTGAACGACCCTCATGGCAGTTCATGCTGTGGAAGACAGAAATAACCTTTAAAGCGGGGGAAAAGGATATCATTCATTCTGCGTCTTTTGGTGCAAAGAATGCTAAAAACTCACTAGTCTTAACTCAAAGGTTACTCCCGGAAACTTTCCTAATCAGGTCTAAAAAATCATGCATTTTCATTCTGTATTATGACGTAAGGGAATGGTTTTTGGGAATGAAAGAGGGGTCAAAGACTCTCAATACGAAACGTGTCCTTGGGAAGTACGCAATCGGTGCTACGTTGCTTTTGCATATTATTATGTCAAGGCACAATGACACCAATTTGTCCTCGAATAGTCATGGTAAGAATACTCCGAATGTGTTTTGCACGCTTCTTCTGTATTAATTTCTCGTTTGTCTCCGTGCAGGATATTTAAAAATAGCACGATCGACATTGAGACTTAATGTCTATTTGGAGAGAATTTTCCGCACTAGCTGAAAAAAGTTGACACATGCTGACGTAGTCTACCTGCGTTGGGAACGTTGAAAAGGTTTACTTTATGAATGAGTCTCACAGCGTTGCTGAGTTTTTAAAGCATTTTTCAGGAATTTTCAAGGAAGCTGGATTCCCATTCGAGATTTTTAAATTTTGTGTAGATTCTCGACAAGTGAAAACGCTGCACTAAGTTATAAAAATAACTTTTTCACAGGGCGTGGCGTTGAGAGAACTCTCCAAATTCAGTACAACCACGTAATAAATTGCTGACAAAAACTTTAAAGTTGGTTTCACTTTACTAAGCATTGGTTCACTCCGTACTACTTGTCACTAGCAATGATTGCGATGATTCCATCTGTTATGATCAAAAACTCATTTCCAAAAAAAAGAGAGCAAAATTGCACTTTCCTCAAGCTTGATTGTTTTTTTATACTGACGCAGGATTTGGTAAGAATACGCTGCAGGCACTTTGGAGACTTCTAAAAAATGTCACAACTACCAATTTTGTTAAAGATACGGGAATATTCAGATTTCGTGTTATTGATGATCAAAGTAACCCTGGTTTTCGCTCATTTTTGAATACGGAGGCTACAAACATTGAGTTAAATTTTCTGATAAAGCCATGTGCACATGTCTACTAAAGAGAACAATTGTTTTTCTCGCAGGGCCGCGGCCCATGACGGCAAATCTATGGGGGGCGGCACATTTGGCAATTTTTTTTCAAATGTAGGTATAAAAAAAATTCGGATTTAGAAAAAAAAATTACAAACGAGAAAAGGCAACAAAATCTCTAATTTTCTGAGAGTATAGTAATTTCTGCTTTTGTCGTCTCTCAGTGATACAAGAGACAACACCTTTAATTAGTCGAGTGAAGAGAGAAACCAAACACGCAATTTGGCCTGGAACGGCGCGACTTACCTAGAGAGAAATGATGACGAGGACTTGAGACGAAAAGGAGAAGCCCTCGGCGTGGCGATCGGCATGTAACACATATTAGTGCCTACAAGACTGCCCGAATACTTCAAGCATTGCATCAAACACAGTGCGGTCATTGCGGACAGCGTGAAACGGATAGCGCCTACAAGAATGCATGAATACCTCACGCATTGCGGCAAACACTGTGCGATCAGCGTGAGACGCATAGCGCCTACAAGACTGCGTGAATACTTCACGCGTTGCGTCAAACACAGTGCGGTCTGCGAGACGCGGCGGCGGAAGTTAAAATCATGTTTGTTCTTTCATAATATTTTCGTTCTTTCTTATGAATGGAAGGCCTTGTCCACACAGAGATAGGTTTACGAAACTTAACTTTCGTGCAAAGTTCCGTGAACTTTTGCTAGTAGTGTTGACAGGGCTTTCCCAAAAAATGTGTTCAACACCAGTAAACGCGTCTTATGCACCCCTCCCCCGCTGGCACGTTTATTTGATGGTTTCATTGATGTTTCAAAATGAATGAGAAGGCGGCGGCAAGTAGGTAAATCCGGCCCTGTTTACTCGCGCTTATGTTTCTGATTTCATCAAAATCAGGGCAGAGTCCGGTTGTATATCATCTTTCCCCCGCGTTGCACTTCTTGAATCAGAGACCTGTTAAACCAACGGAATTTCACCTTAACTGGTAAAATATTTCTCAATTGTAGGGATTGGGAAAGAAAAAACAAAAGTCAATTAAGGATCAATGTACACTTTATTACTTACAGTTTTGTTTCATAACTACTAAATTTTAAATGTACAATGTTTGTCTTTTTCTTTGCTTTGCATGCAGAACTGAGTGTAAAATTGAGTTTGAGAAACAAACATGTGTTTCTTTAAATAGATAACTAGAAAATTTGGATCTGAAGTAAAAATAAATGGACATGTAGTAGAACAACAAAAGTCAAATAATCCAATGTCAAGATAGTTTTGACAATATAAACTAATTATACATGAACACAAAAAGTTTGTGTAAGTAGATAGACATTGATAATATGGCTTGAAATAAACGAAGTTTTTCATCAACGTTAGGATCATTGATTTAATGTCATGGTTCTCGTTATCTCATCCTTTGATATCCTATTTTTGACTAAATAGAAAAGATATGATGAAAATGTTAAGTTTTTGAGTAATTTAAACATTGATTATGATTTAATTTTACTTAAAGGTCGTTGAATTCTATTTACGGACATCACAGTATTGACCTAATATGCTAATAACTACCGTCTTAGCGGCATTCCGTTTTCGTAATATTCTAATCCGACTGACCATTCAAATGGTTTTCATGTCATCAAGACTCACAGCATATAACAGTCTATAATTATAATAAATTACTACCTCAGATTAGGTTTCGTTTGATTATTTTTCCCTAACAATAATTTAAAAAGACGACTTAACGTAAATGAAAAAGAAAGTTTTATTTACACATTCCCTCTGATATGTACATTTTTGGTACACTTTTTGGCCCGATTGAAGAATCGCAGTGTCTTTCAGGGAGGTAATAATACAAAGGGCCAAAAGTCTTACTTTCTAAAATATCCACCAGTAAAATGTACATATGTACTGCTTTTAACAAAGAATTGTAAATAGGAAAAAGAAAAGTCGTTTAAGAATAAGTATTTTCAACTTGTTTCTATCGTTTACAGATGTTTTTGGTTGCTGTCATTATCGGTCTTTCCTCTTTGATTATATCAGAGAGAACTATTTAAAAAAAAGAGAAAAAAAAAATACCATTGATTTTCATTTTGGACTCATTCTAAGTAATAGCCTTACACGCGGAAGTTTAAATTGAGACTCTCGTGGTGACAATATAACTTTAAAATTAAATGTATGCTTTAGTCGTCTCTTTAACGTGTTTTTTCATGGTGCTGCAATGTTATCTACATCACGCTGAACATTTTCTGAAAGCAAATATGAATTTTTATAGAATTCAATGACAAAGAGATACCGGTTTTAATCATTCTGAATCTGCAGTGGCAAAGAATCGGCGTTCATGCCCTCTGCATAATGATAGCTTTCGCATCGACCCGTAAGCTTAATATTTTTTGAGTATCGAGAGAAAGTGAACGTAAAATCAGTGACCATCATTGTTGTCAAATCGTCCTGGAAACCATCCAACTAATGAAAAACTATACAATGATTTTAGCACGTATGGTATAGCACCCATTATAATCATTCGCTATGGTGAATTTGTGAACCAGTTGATACGGACTATATTCAATCCTAGGTACACATTAGACTGACAAGAAATTATTTTATTATGACAAGGGTGGCAGCTATGTTGTTCAAACAAAACTGGTTTGGAATTTTATTATATTTAAGGATCGATGATGACTTTAAGAGCCACATGCACGCTGCCAGGTCGAACATTCATGAACTGACGTCCAAAATTGATATTTCAAACCGCACGTATTTATCGGCTTTTAAAAAAGTTACTAGGGGTAAAAAGATTAGGGCTTTTCGGGTACATTTAGTGTCAAAAATATTTACCAAAACTGTGAGACGTATAAGACAAATTGGAATGCGCAATCGATAAGATTTAAAATACATTTCAAATATTTTTTTTTAAATTGCTGAGCTATATCGGGACCCAGGTGAAAGTTCTGGTAATCATTACGATGATACCAATCATTATCGCTACCACGATGCCTGCGGACATGAAGTAATTGTTGCTTTCAGGATTTGGTAAAAAACAACTTTTGTTAAACTTCAGCGACCACATGGTATCATCAAAACACTGAAAACAGATATTAACTCGTAATATAAAGCCTTATTAGATTTCCTTTCTTCTTTTAAGCTAAAACAGCACAAAAAATCAATTATTATTCGTGGTGAAAACAAGGCAAACTAATTATTCTTATCTCTTGACTCGTCCCGCCCAAACATCTCACAATTTTTAAACTACTTACCATTTTTTTTTTTTTTTTTTTTTGATTTGGTGAGTTCTTTCCCTTTTTTGTTTTTTTATGTCCGAATACAGCACAATCCGATTCCCGTGTTTTTTTTCTCTCATTCTCTTTGATTTAGTACTGACAAAAGCGTCGAGCGATGATCTTTCCGGGAAAGGAAGAGACGGTTTCTTCGAATTAGTTGAATCGATCCGAGTCGAGACGCGAATTTAGACGCGGTTACAATGAGAGAGGGCTTGCAGAAAATCCACTTCCTGCAGCGAGAAAATTACACACGAAGGAGGAAGTCTTCGAAGACTGCTCGCTCAAAGGCGTTTGGAAATTAGCGAGTCATTGATCGAGCACGATCTTTTTTTCTTATTTATAAAAAAGAGGAACAAAAGAGCTAGATTGCGCTTAGCGAATTAATCCTCCAAAAGACTGCAATTTCTTCTGTGTAATGAGCTGTGCTTCATGATTCTCCGACACTATGGCGCTGTTGTCAAACCGTTCACTGAGATTTTATCAGCCCTGTCCAGCCATTTTTTTTTTACATGAAGGGAAGGAGGTTGGCGTTGCACGAGATACTTCTGATTAATTATCCTTCTCACAAAAATCATAATTTTAAAATTCATTGAATCAGTGGAAGAGAATTGGACTGTCCTCCATTCAATCGGTTGATACATCCCTTCAGGATGATTCCATACATTTTTAACGACCGTTTTGGCAGGACAAAGCAGATGAAATATCGTGTCGAACTTGTCCAGTCCAGTCGAATCGGCTTCACAGAATCAGCTTACCGGAGGCTGAAGGTATGCTTTAAACTCTCACTGAATGAGTGGGATAAGTTGAATTTATTCCATAGTCTCGGCAACACTGATTTCCATTCACTGTCTCCCAATGTTCACGGACATTATACTGGATGACGCAACAATAGGTCAACTCTACCAGCTGACAGCGAAAGTTCATTTTCATTACTTGCTCCATTGTTTTCCCGGGTGACTCATATTATAATGATTCCTCTGCTATCATCTATGACACTAATTTGCACGAAAATTGTAGCAGCTCTTCATTATCGCATCAAAAGCTCGTGTATTCCGATTTTCACTTCAGATTGGGGATGAGATGAAGTATTGCAACTTTGTAAGTATGCTTTTTTAATCAAACCTTCGAGGGAGTTTTTTTTTCAACACAATTTATCTAATTTATTTTTCGATATATTTTACTTTTTCCCGAGGGTCGCATAAAATATTTTAAAATATAATGCAGCCGAACGTAAATTACGCCCCTCTGCGTGCGACGAGTACGGTATCCGATTTTTTTCTCCCTCAGGATTAAAGCCCTGTTATGCAAATTGAGAAGTAGATTTTCGATTGGAGTCAGATTATTTTTTGCACAACAACATGGAATCAAACGTCTGTGATTGCACTCTCTTTGCGAGTGGAGAGGATCCGTCATAAATTAATTCTACCTTGAAAACTTCCAGTCATAAACATCACGGGGTCAAAACGAAACGGATTCCAGCTGCCATGTAACAACGAAAATCGAGTAAAATGCTGGAGCCAGCGGATCGGCTGAACTGATCTAACGACAATAGTGCATCAGAGCTTACATAATGCAAAGGTCAGCGTGACCGATTCTCGCCCTGCAATTCTGGCCGACTGACAGACCGGGCACTAAACCGTCCCGCAATTATCAGATCCGAGGCGACTGGAAAAGTACAACCACGAATCTGTATTATAACTCCATTGGCGTTAGGCGGTTTTTCTCCGAGCTGGGTAGTGCCGGGTCGTGAACACTGAACGGTGGCCAAGCCGAAATCATCAATCATTTATTGCGCTGAGTCATATACCATTCTCCGAACACGCGGAAAGGCTCTTAATGTTGGACGGCACCGCATGCTTCGTGCTTTGTTCGGAGATGCTAAATTTCAATCTCGGAGTTTAAGTTGGATTTATGGGAGCCATTCACCATGGAGTCGTTGGAAGTAGATGTGATACGACTCTGTTGCAATGTCGTGTTGGGCGTGTGTCTGCAGAATCGTATTTTGATGGCAGAGTCCTGAAGATTCGTAAATCATGAACGAATCTACCAGAATTTGTCTTAATTTTGCTATTCTGCAGGGCTCAATCATCAAACCGCAATCCTGCGCGCAAGTTATCACAATTGATCAATTTCCGGGTTTTCGGTGTCGGACTTGATGTTCCGCGACTGGTAACATTGCAGCGTACTAACAGAGAGTTTAAGATCAAATAAAGGCTAATCGCTTATCATTTAATGTTTAATGATACAAAGTACGTTTTGAAAGAGTGGAATTGAGTAGAGTTCATCTCATTCTATTGGGTGGCTTTGAATTTTAAAAAAAAATGTCACCTTGTAAAAGAAAATGTAAGGTCAGTTCTATACAAGAGTAAAAGTTAACGATATTTTAATCGAGATTACAGTAATCGATCGATGGTTGTCACTGAACTGTCTTCAAATTGAAATTAAATCGATGAATACTGCAACACGATAAAAATACTAAAAAAACTGGTGAATAAATAGAACTGACTTTTAGATTGAGTTTCAAATATAAATGATGCATTCAGCTCCATTGCAAAATTTAGAAATACTGAACAACAACGCTGCAATGGAGGTAGATTTTCTTTGTGTTGCAAAATCAATCAGATGAACCAGCAAAAGAACGTCTATTTGCAGAGAATGGGTCGTATTCGACAGATTTCTTTCGAATAGATACGAGCCATAGAGGTTTTAGACGCAAAAGAGGATGAACTTATTAATTATTTAAAAAAATTGCGGGATATTTTACTTCTGACAGTCTGCTGATATATGCTGATTTTGGGCGTCTTTCAAAAAAGATAAAATCAAATACATGGTAGATATAAATATGACTCATTACGCGACATGAATTTAGCTGACCAGAAAATGAGGAAAATATTACACGCTCTCTGCAATATTTCATATCCTCAGCGACAGTTTGCACATTCTCTGCAATGTATGTGTCGCAGGCATTCAGCAATCACCGGCAATCAGCAATCTATTTGCGCTGAATAAAAAGTGTAAAAATTCAGAAGTAATTATTCGAGATAGAAAGTGCGGATTGTATGCTTAAAATTCAAAAACATGTTTTTCTCCTCTTGAAAACATGGCGCCACCCAACACACGAGCGTGTGTGGCGATTTAAGTGACCCTAGTCGGATTCGGTTCGGGCAGGCAACCAAACTAGCTGCCTGGCGAAGCGGAGAGTATCGCGAGGATTTGAAGGCGCTCTACGGCGAGTTCGTTCTTTCGATGTTCTGTATGAATGAAAAATTAACTACGTCGATGCAAATATTTAGAATTTGACGGGTGAGTCTTGCGAATTGCCGGCGATTGCTGACTGCCTGCGACACTGGACCCTGCGGCAGGGGTGGCTTCAAAAGACGATTCTTCTGGTGCGATGCCGGGGGTGGCTGACTAACGACTGGGTGAGATCGATTAGAAGAATCCGTCGCCGGTGGGGTCGTTGACCCAGGGGTAGTTGTTGGGACACCTCACGCAGGTCTGGAGGTTGATGGTCTCCCCGGGAACCTCCTTGCTGGTGAGACGGCAGGAGTGCGGAACCCAACAGGCTGGTGGGCCCTCCACGTTACACTTCTCCCGCCATGGCTCGAAGTTCTTCACTTCGGAGACGGTCCGTGGGTTCTGGATCCACTGGATAACCTACGCAAGAATAAAATCAGATTTTTAGAACTATATGTGGTGATCACTGCCGTAAAACCACTTATGTGCGTAGGGAAACGGGTGGCACATACGATGTTTTTAAACTGAGCTAGGGGTTGTAGTTCCTAATTGCAAAATGTAATCCAAATGGAATACTGTCTTGCTAGGATAAAACGCCATATGAGCCTTCAGGCGTTGCCAAATTTCCCCTGGTAAATCACTAATTTTCGGAAAGATTTTGACATATTTGTCTACCAATTTCTCAGATAATATTGTTTGTAATTTGATCTAAAACGTCTGAAGATTTCAAGGAAAAGTATTCATAATTTTCTTCGAAAATAGAGCTTTTATCGAAGGAAATTTGGCAACTCTCGAATGTTCATAATGCGTTCTTCCTTAGCACGGCAGATTAGTCAAAATTCGAAACTCGGAATCAGAGCTGAAAAAAAAATACCATGCTTTGGAAAATGAATAACTATTAACTAGGTATATGAAACACACCTGGTGTCGTAAATCGTATTTTCCCGACGCAACTTTGGCCTCCTGGTATTATGGAGATCATTTGGAACGTGTTAAGCAGAAAGGAACCAAGCCACATCGGCTATTGCCACATTTAATCGGACAGTTTAATTTTTTACGTGAAAACGGTTATGCGGATTCTGTGTAAATTTCAGTGAATTTTCTGCATAGTATGAAGGGAATTCCCCAAAATTTTCAAAAGAATCTGCATTAACGTTGTCTTGTAAAAAAGTATGTTTCCCAGTTATAATTGGCGATAGACGACGTGGCTCGGTTCCTTTCTGCTATACAGGGTGGCATGAAACGTAAGAAAGTATTAAAAACTTGGACATTTTAATGAAATATTCATGAAATTCCACGAGGCTGTGAAATATTTCACATTTTTTAGGGGCTAGAGTATACAACTCGCACTCAAACCCACAAAATCGGACAAAAGTCACAATTTTTACATTCTTCGAAACTTGAGAAGGGACCGGTATTTTTCAATATCTTTAATAAATTTCTACAATTTCATGAAATATTCCCCGTGAAATTTCAAGATTTTATTTTTCATGGAATTTTGCCACCCTGCTGCTATAAACGCAGTCCATTTGAAGTGGGCATCGTTAAACACGTGACAGGAGTCTATATTGAGAAGAGGCAGGGCCTCGGGTGGAGGCTGGATAGGGCGGAGAGGAGACTGACCTGCGTCATGGTGACGAAGTAGACGTCCTTGTGGTTGGCGAGGACCTCGTCGACCCAGTAGAGGAAGGCCTCGAGGAACTCGGGGTTGTTCTTGAGCCAGGCGGCGTGGAAGTAGAGCCCGAGCGGGGCGCGGTTCTGGTCATAGTGCCGGTCGAAGTTGTGGTTGAGGAAGTTGTAGAACTGGTCCCCGGTGAGGATGTTGGAGCAGGAGTCGACCATGGCGCAGCCGGGCAGGTACTCGTCGAAGTTGGGGTCCTCGCGCCGGTCCAGCTCGTTCATCACCATCTCCCACACGGCGTGCGACCGCGTTGGGCAGTGCTGCAGGTTACCGTGACACCTGTACCCCCAAACAAAAGTCCACTTGAGAAATCTTACTCCATAATATCAAATAATGAGAGTGGCGAACTGAAGAAAAACTCCGGCCGTGGGAGCCGCAATTACGGGTTATATAGACATACTGTCCATTCCGGGCTCAAAGGCTGAAAATTCCGGCTGCTGGAGCCGTAGCTTCAATCTCTGAACCCGGAGCAATCGAAGCTACGCCTCCAGCAGCCGGAATTTTTGGCCTTTGAGCCCGGAACGGACGGTGTGTCTTTATAGCCCGTAATTGTGGCTCCCACGGCCGGAGAATTTTTTTCAGGGCGTGTAATTCAAAACGCATGAGGCGCCAAGCGCCTAGACCGCCAAGTGGCCAGGGGGCGAACAGTGAATCGAGTCAATGGGAGAGGTCTGACAACATTTGGAAACTTTAAAAGCTCATAACTCCGTTTTTACAAAATTTTGAGGTCTTTAAAATTGTCCCATTGATTTCATCGTAAAATTTTCTACAAGAATCACCCCTTAAAATTTAAAGTTTGACTACATAAACATCTCAATTTGCAGTTTAGTCAAAAATTTCATGTCCGACCTCTCTAATAATTGACTCGACTGTGAGACGCAGCCTTGTAGCCCTCACGAACGTAAAAAGTGAATATTTTGCGGAAAGAAGGGGAAACAGAGACCAAATATGCATATCGGAGACTTGGAAATGCACGCTGTCTCATGTGTTAAAGTTAATTTGGGCATCTTTGACAGTTTTCGCCGAATTTGCCGTACATTGGAAACTATCGCATTTTTCCGTTTTGCAGTCTATTTTGCAGTATCCACTCAGGACGTACTTTCAAAGCTACTTCAAAATTTCTTTGGGTCAGATTTTGTGTATATGAACCGAACCTACTAAGACGTGATTTGATGCTCGGAAATTTTGAAGAAAACAAGTGTCCGGATTATATTAATCGACCGATGAACTCTATCTCCAAAATATTCTGATGCTTCTGGCTTCTCCTCACGCAATCAACGTGATTCTTTTACTTTCATCTTGGTTGGTCAGTGCGAGACCTCTATCACAGTGAATTCAGAGGATGCGCTTACCTGTGAGGCATTCTGAAGTACATGGTGTAAGGCCATAGAGGTGGATTGGACAGGGGCGCTGTGATGGTGGAGTCATAGAGGAAAGCTTGTTCCTCCATCATGGTGAACTGATTGTTGCCTCCGACCCTGAGGAATGGAGCTCGGACACCAACCACGCTGTTGTCTGTCAGGTTTGCGTACTTTTCCACGATGATCCTCATGCCACCCATCTCTTTGATCCAGTCATCCACGGTTGCGTTGCTCCAGAAGTGCTCGTCCTCATTGTGGCTGGAAGGCAAAGTGAAAGTCAACCGTGAAAATATGAATGAGCTACTCTCAGACGCGGCGTATTTATTTTAAGAGTTGATGAATGAATCAGTGAGTTCGAAAACACACCAACTCGGAAAAAAAAAATTGTTCAGAAAACACCTAAAACTGCGCAACGGGCGAAGAAGTTCGGTTAAGAAAAACCTTTTTGGTGCCAAAGGACAAGTACCTAGAGACTTTGTAAAGCACCAAGTTGAAATCGATACACCATGTTTAATGACAGAGAATTAAGCGTTTAAAAATTTCCGAGTTGGTGTGTTTTCGTTCTCACCGACTTTCAGGTACTGATTTTTCATAGGCTGCCCTGAAAAATTTATATTTTTCGACCTGAATAACGATTGAATATTTATATAACTTGTTAATACAAGGTACACTGAACCGAAAAAAGAAAACCGCATAATCGGATGGTCACCCGTTTCCCTTGAAATGGCCAAAAATTGGTATTTCCAATTAAATACTTCGATTTTTCCCTTTTCCCGTCGCTGTTTCGAGCAATTCCGATTGCAATTTCGAAATATCCTTTTGCGTGCAGATGCATTTGATGGCATATTCTTCGCATAAGAAATTTAAAAGTCAAGTCAGAAAAGTGGGTTCCTTTTTAAAAACTTTTAAAAGTTCATCCTTAATTACATTATGGAGTTCATTTTAAAGAAGACCTAACTAGTCTCTAATTGCTGAACTTAGTTTTACAATGATTCTATCAGTAACTTCACCGATAAGTTAAATGATGAAAGATTTCACTAATGATTCTGTGAATTCGTCGAAAGAGGCGTCGTAGAAATTCGAATGTTTCCCAAAAGACGGGATTTCAATTATTGTGGCCAAGCGAACATTTTCAGGCAGATGAACCCAATTTTCGGTGAAGTTAACTTAAGTTTTTGGTGACTACACGTATTTTTGACTAACAAATTAGAGCTTTAATCAGGACTGAAGTGTCAATCAAGTTTTGCGGCCTGCTGCGCCCGGTTTTTATTTATACGGTAGACACCCTGGATCTCATTTCGAGGCGTGAACTAGCAAAATAGAGTCCTCTGTCACACGGATTGAAAATATTGTCTTTGAAATCACCGGACAAAGGTTGGTGAAGGAAAGATGAATGAACATTTTGTACAAACATTGATAAATTTACCGGGCTCTGCTATTTTGATTTCCAATTCCAAGAACCGAGAAATGAAGCGAAAAGTTTCGTTAAAGTTACGCGCTCTACGATTGTCACCACGCACAGTGGATCGAGTCAATTAGAGAGGTCGGACATGAAATTTTTGACTTAAACTGCAAATTTTGGGATTTACATCGTTACATTTTACATTTCAAGGGGTGCTTAACGCAGAAAATTTCACGAGGAAACCAATGAAACCACTTTTAAAACCTCAAAGTTTTGTATAAACGGAGTTATAAGCGTCTAAAGTTTCCAAATTTTATCCGACCTCTCTTATCGACTCGATCCACTGTGCCACGTGCTCGGGGAGAAAATTTCCTATGGGCAATGGACTCGAATCTTTGGCATTGAGCTTAAAACGACATTCCCTTTTACAGCTGTACACAATAAAGAAATTGGAATGCTTAGAGCTTCCTGAATTAACTTGACATGTGACACGCCTTTATCCTTTTCCATCGCGTGGCTCTTGTAATGCTATCACGCGTCGTACATGCGCGCTGTCGTTATAAATCGGTTGCGTCCACCCTGTTTAATGAAACTGCACTTTGGCACACTACTCCAACAGCGAGTTTTTGCCGATAGATTCTTGAAAAATTCTTAGGGTCTTCTGGCAAGTTTGTGTGCTTTTCGTAGGCGTTTTCAGAAAGTCTATAGAAGGACATTTCTTCCTGGGTAGTGTGCCTACCCAAACGCTCTTCGGACGAAGGTGGACCATTTTTCATTTGGACTTAAGTTTAAGACTTTTGGACTTTTTTTAAGTTTCAGAGATACTTTCTGAAATTGGAGGGAAAAAGAGGAAAACTCCTCATCTATACTTTCCTATGACACTTAGAAAACTAAGCAATAAAAAAGTAGTGGTGCCGGTGGAATGATTTTATTTTGAAAGATGCCGTAAAAAGAAACTTTTCTTGGTATTTTGGTCCCTCGAGGCAGAAATATTTCTATAAAATTTTAAAAATATGCTTGCCAAAGTAAATGCACCTCATGATTAGGCGTAATTATTGCACACTGAAAAAAGAAAAAAAAACTCCAGCTTTGAAGATCGTACTACGGGCTGTATATGCGGTTATACCGTCTGTTCAGGGCTCAGAAGTCGAAAGTTCCGGGTGTAGCACCTCGGTTTTCGGCTCCTGAGCCCGGAATGGACGGTAGGGTTACTTAGCCTGTTACTTATTTGCACTGAAAAAGCAAATAAAACATGGCGATCAACATGATTTGCGAGCCTTATAAAACTTCATTTTCTTCGTCGTAATTATTGGACGCATTTCTGCCAAACGGAACTATGTGCATTATGATGTGTGCCCTGTAAAGCATATATCCTAATGGGTCTCAGGGCTCATGTCTGAATGCATATAGTTCCGTTTGGCAGAAATACGTCCAATGGAGATGATGCATGTGTGTGGAATTTGCGAGTTGACTGTTGATTCTTGTGTAAAAGTTCGCGAGAAACACGATGGTGCCACCTGTTTTCTCTGAAATCAACTCTCAAGCTCAAAAAAAGCTCTCAAGTTGAGGCCAAAATGGAGAGGATATCCCACGCTATCCTGAGAGTCTACCTCTACATCAAGGCAAACTCTCCATGCAAAGATAGGGAGCAAATACATTGACAGGGCTGCCACTATAATTAGGGACTCTAAAACTGAAAACACGGCAACCCCGCTAATGTATTTGCTCCCTATCTTTGCATGGAGAGTTTGTCTTTATGTAGAGTTGGACCCTCAGGATATCGTGGGATATCCCCTGCATTTTGGCCTCAACTTGAGAGCTTTTTTTGAGCTTGGGAGTTAATTTTAGAGAAAACCAGTGGCCCATCGTGTTTCTCGCAAACTTTTACATAAGAGACAGCAGTCAAATCGCAAATTCCTCACACATGCAACATCTCCATTAGCTTCATTAAACTGTCTCAAATTTTCACGGATTCTGAGTCGTGCTAATATTTTCGTGTAGCGACAGGTGCCCGCGTTCCACGAGGCCACGGAACCGCGCGGAAAATGACGTCACACGAAATCAGTCGGGCGGTTTGACGTAATCCTCGGGGCAAGTAACATGTGCATTGAAATTTCTCGACGCATCTTCCTCATGGCGCACCAGGAAACATGTCAGCGCCTCGAGTCATCTCCGGTGATGTATTTTTACGCCGGTAATTAGCAAAATTTCGTCGCGATCGAACCGAATCGAACCGCAGGCAGCACGCGTGCACCGTGCGCGCAGCCCAACTTCCAAAACTCAACATGACTCAATCTGGAGTGTCTCCAAAAAGAAAGCGCATGATTGATCAACCGCAGCTGCCAGCTTTCAGCATGTCAGTCTATCTATTTTCCATCCGATACACACATATCTTCATCAAATAGTCATCAGAAGAAGACTTAAAAATTAAATACTTAAATACTTAAGATACTTAAAATTTTTAAATAATACTTTATACTTTTATTATACTTTTATTTTACTTATAAACTTATAACTTATAAACTTATAACTATATACTTTTATTATACTTTTATTTATACTTTTATTTTTAAATAATAAAAACTTCACTTTCATGCTTTTACTGGTTTAAGCTATTAAAATAAGTAAACACAGTTATTAAAATTGTTATAGCTATAATATCACGGTTTTTAAGTGATTTTGGGTTATCGTAAACAGGGCTGTTGTTTTACTTGGTATTAATTTCATAAAAGCTTTTATTTCTTTTAATACTATTCCTTTTCTTATTGTTTTTATAATCATAATTATGTGTTTTTTAAATATTATTTTGTTCATGTAACTTTCTTAAGATTATAGAAATACACGATATTTTTGCCGCATTTTTCTCTAACTTTTCATATTTTTCCGTGGGTACGATGTTGAGAAAAAATGAAAAATTTATCTCATTAGAAATAAAAGAGTCCATATTAATTGTAAGATGTTTTACATTCATACTGTCCGAGGATAATTGAATGTTTCTAATTTTTTTTCTTTTGCTTTATTGGTTTGACGAGTCTCATATACTTATTGATGATTTATCGGTATTCGGTTTTTAAGAAGTTGACAAGCAGGGCTGTTTTTTGGTTGTTAGTGGGAGAAAAATAAGAAACAAGTTGGTTTTTGCAATCGCTAGCGATAGCAATATTCGTCATGGGAACTTTTGCTTCTGGGATATGAAAATTTTAAGGTACAGTTCGTTTGTAGTATCTTCAGAATTGAAGGGGCTATGTAATTTTGTGTCGACATCTCTTTTTTAACATTTTTAATTTTTTTTCTTTGCATACAAGAAAGCTGTTATTTACCAATTATTTATTTTCGTTTGATTATGTATGGTTTTTGGAAGTTAACGCATTTAACTTTCAGTTTCGTTTTTTCGGCGTAAAGTATGATATTTTTACTCTACGCATATGCCCGAATACGCATCATAACGACGGTGAAACTACCAAACCACGTATCTCGTTTGCGGTGTTTAAAAGTCTCCGCTCACATTTTATTTTTTTGAAGTAGACCAAATCAATATCATTCCTTGAAATTTTCACAGAATTTTCTCCGCACGAAGAGGAAAAATCACGGAAATTTTCAAGACTGGACGTTAAGTAGCTTTTCATTTAAAAAATAAAGTATGACAGGAAGTCTGCGACGTCGCAAACCGAGATACGTGGTTTGGTAGTTTCACCGTCGATAAGTGACCTATGTGCTTCCTAAGTTGCCATTTTTTTCATTCAAATAGATGTAACCGAAATGTTAGATGTGTACTACCTATACTACTTTCATGTCATTGCTTTATTTATTTATTTACTTTTTGCGTAGGTATAAATTGTTATTTTTTGCTGAATTT